ATATATGATTACCATATTACATATTTGTTTAGTTAGTTAACATTTATCAGAAGGGGTTTTGTGGAGATTTTAGCAATTTCACTGGTTGAAATCATGAGTCAATTGAAGCTAGACTACCATGGAAAACCTGGAAGCATCGGACGGCCATTTCGTCCTATTACGGGACTCCTCAGCAGTGCGTTGACATTTGTTGACCTGATAAGAGTTTATATAAGCTAATCATTATCAAAGATTGAAATGTTTCCGTGAAACAACATTTATTAGTTTAGATAAATTTGAATATCATGATTAATGTTTACGTAATACTAAAGACTGGAATAAATTTCAATATGTAATGTTAGTTGAAATACTTATTTACTGAATTGTAAGGTGAATTTGATTATTGGAAGTAGATGTTTTTATTGTAAAACTTATGTAGGAAATCATATTATCGATTAAATCATATGAAGAGGTCATTTGTTACTAGATGTTCCGGATAGTTAGTGTTCATGAAATAATTATAATAATTTCAATGGTTGAGATCATGAGTCAGTTGAAGCTAGACCACCATTGGAAACCCGGGACTCCTAAGCAGTGCGCTGAAAATAGTACAAATTTGTAGCTCAGAAAGATTTTGAATGTATTATGTTCTCTGAACTGGCTAGTTTACTTATGAAATTTTCATTGTCTTTCTAAATAGTATTATTAACACATAAAAATAACTAAAGACTTATTAGACTATTTGGGATATTAGATGTAAACTCAAATGTAAGTGGAGGTTTTGGAATGAAGTAATCAGTAGTATGAATCTGAAATTATGAAAATGTATGAAGTTTGCTGGAATTACACTACTACCTTGTTCATAAATGGCTATAAATTCAAAATATAGGGCCCAAGTTAGGTGCAAATTATTCCTCGTGTTAGTTAATTAGAATATAGTAAATAACTTTTAACATGTTATCTGTCAATAATTGATTACCGTGTCATCCGGACATGATGAAAATAAGACGATAACACTAAAGTGAACTATTTCACTGAATACATCTTAGAAACATGAAAGGTAAGATTGTAATATCCGAGCGAAGATTAAATCACGAGTAGCTTCTGAGACATATTAATTGACTAGTATTATCTATACATTCTTATGGTGTAACTATTCAATAATTAGATTATGTATATTTGAGTTCCTCTTATTATAAGCTTTACTTTGACCTATAATTTATTATTGTACGATTTACGGTTCTTAAGTTATGTTCAGTTTATTGACTACTGCCTCCCATGTTCACAGTCACTTTTTGGCTTTATTGTGTACAAATATTATTTCTTATTTTATGGTGCTTTGCGGTCTGTTTGATTGATATATAAACCCAGTATGTCTGAAATAAATGATTCTATTCGCATATCGGGAGCTGGTATTTGGTGTTCTGGACTCAAGTGGACGGGCTAGGCGGGCATAAGACCAATAAGGACGCTAGGTGCCCATACCGGTCGAACGTCATTGGTTTGGCATAGTGCTAAAACTGTATAAGTCGTATTTTGATTGGTGGATAAATCACGTGATAAAAAGCCGGACATAATGTCACAACAAAGATTACATAATATTTTTTATCTATCAACCAATTTTTAGCAGTGTTTTTTGTTTTCCAGTAAACCAATCAGCATAAAATTATTCTGAGAAAAGTTGGTGTCTAGATATTAGCGTTTCACTGACCTCTGGTGGAAGAAACATATTCGACGAACTATTATTTGTAGAATACTCAAAATGTACACCAGTAGTATAAATTTTCCAAAAAAGCTTCGATCTACTCATTCAACTAACGGCTGAAAACATGAAGGCACGAAAATAATTTCAGTCATTAATAAACTTCAATAGAAAAGATATTGTAATGGTTTTCAATTCTGCTAATAAAAAATGCATTGTGGAACATTAGGATTAGAATCCAGTGGTTGTTAAAACATCTACTATTAATGAATTACTTTAGAGAAAAATTTTAAGATCATACAATCGCACGACAACATTTAGATCATCAATGTGGACATATGTCATGGTGATCTAGCTTCAAATGACTCATGATTTCAACTAACGAAAATGGATCACACGAATATTGTAACAAATTTTAGTAAAGAAAACATTCGACTATTGAGTGATCTAATAAATTTAAATGAGTTAAGGCATGTGTGGTTTGATTATTATTAATTTAACACATAGATATTGGTACAAGGAGGCACCAAATACATATGCGCCACACAAATCCCATTCAATCTGTGAGAGGGCTGTGATACTGCCCCGGGTGCCCAAACCGAAGTAGGTGGTTTTCTTAGGGGGCCACACCCGGAGCCTTCGACCTGATGGTCTGATCCACAAGGCAGTAGAGCATCGAAAGGAGATGCAGTCCCATGGTAGCCGGTGACCAACAATTGGTTCATACGCCATTTGTTTCCGCAGGATACTGGAGCCCATGTGCACCATTGGTTTGGAATCCGGTTAAAGCGCCGGACATTCGCTTTTCGTAAACAACACCCCCGAAAATGTGGTTTGGTACTCTATATAAGTTCACTAAATGAAAAAAAGTTTGAAAATGCTTTTTTCTATCACATTCACGTAAGTTATCCAAGAAGAACTGAATAACTGTTTAGTATTAGTTTGAAACTTTTCAGTAGGGTAAATTTGAGCCCTGAATACACGACAGGATATCTAGTACTAATGAGTTTTTCAGCAAGACAATATTTCTCATACATCACTTAATTGTATTCATTGGCAAATTGACAATCGATATGCATATTTTGTAAAACATATCTTGTATTGTCAAAACTTAGGGAAATGTTAACTTAATTTAATTGTAGTGATTAAAATTGTTTATAAAAATAACTTATCGATCACTTGTGTTAAGATAATAATAAAAGGTCGGTTTCATGGACTTATAAATCCAAATGATAGATAATATGCATGAATCGATACTTTGTCCTATTTCCAGATGAAATGCATCTAATATATGGATATTTGATTATGATGAATAGGTGGAAGATTCGTCAGTACTGAACACTATTAGCTTTTACCTCAATGATATGAGATGAAAGTTTTAGAATGATGAATATATGAGATATTGTTTAGTCAATATAAGTATCCATAACATTATTAAGAAAGAACACTTTATGTGAGAAAGTGAGTAAAACAATTCTCTTATTTTAGTATTAGTTTACTAGATCTCCATGAAATAACTAGATGACCTACTGCTTTTTAAAAATATTTACAATATATCCCTCAATCCTCATACATGAACTTAACCGTAGTATGCATTAAGACCACAGGATTCCTTTTTAGGAAAGCAAAAGGTTCATTTAAAACTAAAACTTTGTCCAATCTTAAAGTATACCACTCGATGTCAAACTGTCCGGTAAATCTTTGATTCAGTAAAATGGAAAAAAAAAACTCATCAAGGTTGAATTAGAAAACAACAAATTTATTACAATATGAATGATTTTATTAAAATTCACCATTACTGATTGATATTTATAAAAATATCGTGGGTGCTCACTGTTGAGGAGTCACACAATAGGACGAAACGGCCGTCCAGTGCTTCTAGGTTCTCCATGATGATCTAGCTTCAATTGACTCGTGATCTCAACTAATGAGAAATATATTTCTTACAGTATTTTTCAATATAAAACTACTTAATATACGAAATTCTTTTCAAATTTATTATTTCATTATTTTCACGTTTCCTTTTCATTTTAATTGAAACGAATTACTGGTTAAAGGAAAAAAATTAACTGCAATCGCGAGGAATCATAAAATATTTATTAGGAAAAAATACGATGATCAGGCACATACATTTAGGACATCTTGATGTTCAAGTTGATAGTTATTAAGGAACAAATAGAATAATCAAGACTATCACCCTTCCTTGTGGGTGTCGATTCATAAATCAAACTGTAAACATTATTCATTCATGTCAACTACAATGTAGGACCAGGAACATCGGTCCAAGTTGCCATACCGCATTAGCACAGCAAGATGAACACCGGATTCATAGAAGTAATTAATTCAATGTTACCAGTATATAAAAGAAAGATTACATGTATGACTGGTTAATAATTCCTTTCTTGTATATGCATATCGTCATACAGATTAGTAACAAATTGTTTGACTTATATTTACACATGCCCAAGTTTCATATTTTAATCATGAGAGATTTCCATTTATTGCAATAAGCAATTATCTTATCTGTTTACATTTTTATTTAAGACGGTTTGCTTTGTTTTTCGGGTGGGTTAGCATTTTTTTTCTACCGCATTTATTGTTGTTCTTTTATGTATGCTACTCTTTGAAAATTTCTTTAATTACGAAAAGTGACATGTTATTTCCGGTTATTTGATAATTGTGTTTTAATTTTATCTTTATTTAAGTAGTTGTACGGCACTCTCTATCTACGTGGTTGAAATTTCGATAATGTAACAGATTTCTGAACACTTTGAGATTCAATATTAATAAATTCTGAGTGTTAATACTTTCCTTATTAAATTATTTGTACGTAGTACTAGAAATATACCTTATTATTATGATAGAATACTTTAATGTTCACTCAGGGACTTAATGACATTATAGAGGTAATCCACATGGGATGCACATATACCAAAAGAGACTGATTGATTTCAGCCCTAAACGTAAAAGGGGATATATATATGTTTGAATATCAACAAATCTGTAAATAACGTCCAGAAACTACTCATTGATGTCAACTGATGAACAGTATTTTACACAATCAACTAAATTGTTTGTACTTAACACATGATAATCCAATATAGCTATTATACACTCCACTGTGGCAACTTCAGAACCTCCCGACATGGATCCTACTGTAACCTTAGTGATATTAGCAATATGTCCATATATCTCAACGATTACAATAGGTCATCTCTCCAATCAAACCACTACTCGGCGTACAGAACCTTTCTTTAAACAAATTCTGACTTGATAACGCATAACAGGAACACAAACGGTAACAAAACTTTAAAAAGTGATCCAAATGAACAGAATTTGGTATTAAGTTGTAAAAGATTAACATCAAATAACTTTGTTGACAATGGTTATGCGACCACTTCTTAATACTAGTGATGTTAGTTAGAGTTAAGCCTAAAAATTCTGTTGAGATTCAATTTATTCAAATAACCTATAATTGCTGAAACATCAACTCGTTGCCAACAGTAATAGACAACGAAAATAAATGGTAAATATACTGGGGAAACGAGATTGATAAAGAGAACAACAATGATAAATTCAGGAAACTGCTTCTAAAAAAAAACGAGATTTTACTGTTGATAAGTGGTGAAATCAACCACACAAATATATATACAATTTTTAATTATTATCAGATATACATTCACTTTCTGTGTCAGAACTATCAGAGAATGATGGAAGCATATCTTCTGGGATATAATTGTCATTCTTTATTGAGGATTCCTTTGATATGTTTACAGTAAAAGTTTCCGGCCTATAAAGAAGTGATAGGGAAAATAATAAATATTACTCAGCCAAAAAAGCGGTTGAATTTATTTGGTAATTAAAATAGTATACCAAGAAATCTAGACACAAACAAATCGCTTAGCATAGCATTTAAAAAGCTGTGACCAATTCGTGAATAAAACCATCGGTTGTATTTTTTCAACGGAACAGTTAGCAATTAAAACTATGATTAAATACTTACAACTCAAAACGATAGTTGACACAAATAGAATTAGAATTAAAGAGTGTAACTATATCATAAAAGTAATGCAGGGACTAGTAAGCTAAGTCGTACATGTTGTCAGCACAAAATGAATGTATAACTAAAAATTGTTTCCACTTACTGGGGTGCAGGTTGAAATCAATTCTAACTGTTTATGTTTAGGGACCTAGGTATTATTGCTAGAACCCACTCAAAAAGATTGATTCACTGAATAAAAGGTGATTAATAGAGCTAGATTTCATATTAATTAATGATTCTGTAGCTTCTGATATTCTTTATTCAGAGCTACACCAGAATTTCAGTTCACATCAAAACATAAGTAAAAAAGTATTAAAAGGCTGGATATATATGTGATTAAGTATATGATTTGTAATAATTTTATTTAACACTCCGAGTCCAGTTTTCTGTATATTTTATTAGTGATTATCGAGGAGTGTACTGGACATAGCCAACAATTACGCGAAGCCAGAAGTGGCTATGAGGGTCAAGAAAACGAAAGATAAGCCCTTCAATAAGATAACAAAGGCTCTCCCAAGCACTTGACGACAGATGTTGGTATAGATTATAGTATTTTTATACCGATTTATTAGATGACTATAAAAAACTTGTAAATATTTTGATTGAAATCCACCATAAAGGACATTAACTAATTAATGTCATGTCTTAAGGCAGCATTAGAGTAAGAGGCTGGTGACGACTGATCAACCACGCAGCCTAAATTGTTGCTTTCTAGAGGTCGAACTACTTCAAAGATTGTCAGTGTGTAGACATGTATTGAGTTACTGAAAACTCAATGTCCAAACGTTTCGTACTACGATTTGTACTATTTATAAATTATCAGTAGCTACAAATTTATGCATAACTTGTGAAAATGTTAAGCCAAACGGTGGATACAAACTTGATTACAGCCTTTCCGATCCAGAACAGTGATTATGAAATGTAGGTTATCGTTGACTTATTTATTAGTCAGGAATACCAATTATTAATAAGAGCAACAATAAATAAACTTACGCCTACCTAGAAAAACACTACAGAGCAATTTCGAAATACTACTGTATCTTTAGGTATATTCTACACCTTGAAAACATGAAAACAGCTAGTGTATTCGCTTTACGAAACGCTAGTAACATTTTCCATACAACACTCAGGTTACGTGATGATTTTTCTAAATATTAAATGTCTAGTCCTAACGAATGTTAGTTGACAGAAATATAGAAGAGATAGATCTAACTGCTAGTTCTTTCTTACATTTTGAATCCTTGATACATTTTAATAAAGTGAGAAGAAAAAGGATTCCAAAGTAACATGAATGCACTATATTTCAAAGCTTCTCACCAGTTTCAAACGACCTGAAGTTACAAATGATTATCAGACTACAAACAGAGTTTTTCATACCTTAATTACTGAAGTTGGTTTCGAAGTGACACAGAAAAAAACATACGAAGTACGAAAAGAAAACAACCTATTTCATATAATAGTTAAGACTGGTTAGTATTTATATGTAGAAAATGAATTCCCATGCAAGCGCAACGTCGAATTGTACATAAATATGGTTTCTGATCTGAGAAAAAGGATCTTAATGTGGCATGTATGTTTTCAGCCAAACTCACAACGCGTTGTCAAATGATGATTTTATTATTATGGCTAGTAGTCAATGAGGGATAAAACATCAACATTTGGTATTTTCAGTTCAGAAGACAGGAGTGCAGATTACAAGAATCAGCTGAAAACCGAACACCATTAGTTTTTACATTCTGGCATTCCATCACATTATTGATAATAATGATAATAAGTAATTTAAATAATTTACGAATAAGACGATATAAAATTATGGCACGACTATTAACATATTATACACCTACCAACGGCCTTCATTAACCAGAGCCTTAATATTATCCTTTTGTAACACAGTTCGAATTTCTCCCTTCACCTTTTTGCTATCCAGCGGTGAACAGATAACAAAACCACCTTGAGCAAAGTAGAATGTATTGCGAAATCTTTCTGGAATGGATACGAAAACTTCCTCTCCCTGTTCTGTTATCGCAGTGAACAAATAGTTGCCGCACGATTTGACTAACTGGAGATCAGATTATTTATTTATAAAGTAGTTTGTACCTTACAAATGATTTCATTTGATTCTATGGTATGAGTATCTTTAAAAAGTTCCTTTTCTGCCTTTTTACGCTTAGGCACAGAGGAGGGAAGAATCATTCTTGCTTTATAGGATTTATAGATTAAAATGTCGTCTTACAGATAATAGCTGTGCAAAACGTGGAATCCCTAGAAAACAGAGTAACAGTTAAATTTTATCATTGGAATAAACGTATAATAGAGGTGGATGAATTCTGTAAAAAACACCCTTTGTGTGAACTAAAAAGTTGGTTGACTAAAGTGTTTGAAATCGCAAACTAAGTATTTGGTTAACAAAAATATGACCCTCTTACGAAAAAGAGAATGGTCTTGCAAAAACCTCATACATCTTACCTGTGTAGTCAAGTAAAACATAACGAAATGATACATGGCATAAAACTACTACATTATCCAAGTGAGGTAATTCAGTATTAAAAGTGTAGACCTTTTATTCAAAATTCACCTAATATATGAAGCATTTTACAGGCAAACTTTCGAGTAATTTTTCATAAACTACTAGTGAAACAAATTTAATATCACTGTATATACGGTAAATCCATTACTTCCTGCCTCTTGACACTGATCAGAAAAATTACAATGCCAAGAATTATATTGCAATCCAATGGTGAAACTATTGGTACACGCTTTTAACTTATTACATACACTTTATTATTGTGGAGGTGTATGTAGAACAACATAGTCCAAAAATCTATGTAAATCAGTACGTTGGGAAACAATCAAGGATATATATGGAAAGATACCTATCACAAAGATTTCGTTTAGTTTACTGCTTTTATTCTATTTTTTTCTGGTTGATAATGATTTTATGAACTACCTAACTGGACTGAAACTACCTAACGTAATATTACTTATTTCTACTCTTCATAACAATGACATATCACTCTTTTTACTGCTAAATTCTATCGTTAGAAGGAATCGAAAAAAATGACAATACGTCCTGACATTCACTTAAGACAAACATGTTTTTGACAAAAAAAGTGCTTGGCAGATACATGTAAATAAATTTTAATGTACTTTGTTGCTTTTTATACCGATGAAAAAACTTCAACCGACTGGAAAATGTTTTGCTGCAAGCTTACAGCTTAATGCTTTCATATAATAATCACAATTCGATCTGGTCAACAAGTGAGCGATGATGTTTAAGTAAAATTATTACTGAAATAGGTCGTCAACGTTGCATACGGTCGAATCAAAGCAACACCCATTGAGGTTTAATGAAAAACCTATTTCAAACTGTTACCCCTGACCCACAACTACGATTTGATGGCTAACATAAAATTTATAACTATATTTTCAAATTTTGACTTAGAACCTATAACCAGATCCCTATGACCTAAAAACCGTCCACAAAATAGCCGCAATTAGCACTTTAGGGCTAATTGAAGTTTTATGTGTGCGCTAACGACTGTAAAATACCGCGCAAATGCTTCAACGCTTTACCAAATATATACTCTGGGAGTTTGAATTTGTACATTGGATAAATTGGCGACTACTTGATTGCAGTTTCAGATGAAGAAACAACTCTCCAAAATGTGGATCCTCATTTGGAAGACTCCGAAAACAAGCCATTAAGGCGAATATTTAGAGGCAATAAATTGGATCACTGTGCTTCTTAGGATATATCGATCGCTTCACGCAATGGTATAAAGTTGTGCTCATCACAAAATCACTGGTGAAACTATCGCACGCGCTTTAGGCGAACGATAGATTGCAAACTTTGGCTGCCGACTAACTATTTAAAAAGACCATAGATGCCATATTGAGACTGGATTGTTTTACACCTTGATGACGTTTATAGACATAAAACGATTTCGAATGATCTCATATAGTCCCCAAACATATGATGTTATAGCAAATTCACTAACCATCACTTCACTTTTTTCCTTGAGGATACACCACACTGAATGGACGTACTTCTACTTTTACTAGTAACTCGTACTCCGATAAAGGCTGATGCCGGGTGCACTGCACATTAACCCGTTTATGACATGACCATCCAAATCCCAAGAGGATATGCGAACTTTTTACATTCACTCAATATGGGCCTAACCCACGCCTTCAGTCAGTCAGTCAACTACAAAGTAAGACCAGGCACATATATGCATCGGTTCAAGTTACCACACCTCATTAACACAACAAAATGAACACCAAATTCATAGTAGTCACTTCGGTCAAGCCATACCTAACGCAATACCAACCCTTGTACTAAACTGCATATCTGGAAAGTAACTTCTTCAAAGTTGATCTCCCGATGGCACCAACCAAAGACTGCATGTTGTAGATTGCCATAAAACATCACTCGCTCTTCATGTTTACCGTAGAATAATGAATTTTTATATACTGATGTGAAAATGAACGAAAAAGACTACACGAAAATTTTTGACACATATCTGGCAAACATTTGTATCGAAGTACATTTAGGGATTCTTTGGCATTTTAGACGCATAGTATTTAGATTAAGTAGCATTCAACAAACGTATTAACATAGCTCCGGTCTAACAGTCTATATGAAAACGGTCAATCAGCAACACGCTTATAGGACAACATAACAAAATTTGTAGTTTTATCCAAAAGTTTTGGAAATTGGGTTAGACAGTATATACTGTCCATAATAATAATGATGAAATTTCCGGACCAGAAGCACAAGTTGCAATAAGATTGAATTCAGAATGATGAAGATTTCTACTCGTGATTTAAATATAATCCAATAACTTACTTTCCTACGACACAAACAAATACAGTACACTAAGGCTTAAACTTTTTAAGAAGCATGTACTCTGTAAGGTCATTTCGCAGCCGCCTGCTGCTCAATCTCCAATTGAATCGCACAAATATGCCGTATGTTAAAATAGCTCAAATGGTTCAAATGGTTCAAATGGTTGTGGACGGAATAGAAGAAGCTTTCGCTTAACAGGCTTCCGTGTCTAGTAGCAGGGGATCACCAAATCCTCCAGGCAGGAACCTAGGTATGTTAACAATAAAAGAGGGAAAGAAATTGGTAAATCATAGTGCGATGCTGTCCTTGGTCCTTAAGAATAGGTCAAGTTGCCTCTTGAAGGACTCCTGAGAAGTCGCTTGGACTAGCTCGGCCGGCAGCGAGTTCCAGCTTTTGACAACTCTTAAGGAGTAGAAGTTGTGTCTACATTCCGTCTTGCTATGTTGTGTTTCCAGTTTCTGGGTGTTACCCCTTAGGTTATTGTTCGAACTAAGCTTAAGTAGGTGTTTAAGAGGATGTCCAGAAGTGTTAAGAATACTATAAGCCATTAATAAATCACCTCTAAGACGCCTATATTCTAGTGGGTAAAGGTCTAGTGAACGGAGGCGTTCTTCGTAAGGCTTAGATTTGAGTCCTCGAACTGATTTCGTGGCTCGCCGTTGGATACGCTCCAAAGTGACCTTATCCTTTTGGAGTGAGGGAGGGAGTACTATGTTTCCGTACTCTAAATGGGGACGGATGAAACTATTGAAGATTGTGTGGAAAGTTCTTCCGTCAAACTGACCAAAAATGCGCCTCAACGTTACCAGTGCAAGGTTTGCTCGGAAGGCATTTTTGTCACAATTAGCGTAAGACTTTAAGTCATGGGGCACCAGGACTCCTAAATCTTTTTCGACTTGGGATACTACTAGAGAGGAGTTTCCTAAGTTGTAACTGTAGTTTGCGACATGTCGCAGATGGACTACTTTACACTTAGAACTGTTAAAGGTAAGTCCGTTATCGTCTGCCCAACTTTGAAGTCGAGTCAGATCCTCTTGAAGTGCCTGTATATCGTCTTGGTTGCGTATCTCTCTCCAAAGTTTCACGTCGTCGGCAAGAAGTAATAAGTCTGACGTTACCTGTTGAGGAAGATCATTTATGTAGATCAAGAAGAGAAGAGGCCCTAGTACTGAGCCCTGGGGGACCCCACTAGGACATTCCATAGCCTGAGATAAAGTGAAATTAACCCTAACCTTAAAGTGTCGATTTTTTAGGTATGAAGTAAGCCAGTCGATTAGAGGTGGTTTGATACCTAGTCGTTTGAGCTTGTTGATAAGACACAAGTGGTTAACCTTATCAAAAGCTTTTGAGAAATCAAGGTAAATGACATCAACCTTTCCCTTGCGATCGAGGATGCTTGTCCATCTGTCCACCGCAGTCAGCAGGTTGGTTATACAAGAGTAACCCTTCCTGAAACCATGCTGTTGGGGTGAGAAGAAATTTAAGGACAGTAGGTAGTCATTTAAACCGTCGCATATCAGGGACTCCATGAGTTTTGAAGGTAACGACAGAAGAGCTACCGGCCGGTAACTTGAAGGTTCATTGCGTCGACCACCTTTGAAAATTGGTGTGATGTGAGCCAACTTCCAATTTTCCGGTAGTTTGCCTCGGCTAAGAGAGTGTGAAAACATCACGCTAAGCGGCGTTGCCAGGATTGAGGCTGCCTCCCTCAGTATGGCAGGATGAACCATATCCGGGCCAGGAGAAGTGTCAAGTCTTAAGTGCTGCAGTTTCCGGAACACCAAGTCAGCGCTTAGGTCCACTTCAGAAAGTCCTGTGGAATTGCAGATGAAACTGTCATGAGTAAAGTTGATATCAGCCGGTTGAAATGTTTGAGAGTAATGGGCCGCCAGAAGGTTAGCGGCGTCGCCATCGTTGTTGGTCGGGCCGTTAGGACCTAGCAGTTGAGAAACTCCTGTTTTGGCTTGACGAAGAGAGGCTGCATAACGGAATAGGCTTCTAGGGTTAGAGGCGAATTTGTCCATAAGCTTTGTTTGGTACTGAAGCCTGTCTTCTCTTATAGCCTTCGTGCATGTGTTCCTGATATGTTTGTATTGCCTATACGCTCCATCGTTATTAGTTCGTTTGTATTCCGCCCAACAGTGCCGTTTGCGGCTTAGGAGGCGAAGGGTACGGTTCTTGATTACTGTAGGTGGCTTGAAGCTTTTGGGAACCGTTTGAGGAACTGAATGGTCTGTAGCACATAAGAGCGTGTGCAGCAAGAAGTCCCAATGACCATCCACATCGCTTTGAGGGTGAACATCCCAAACCACCTGTTGTAGATGGTCATGTAGAGCTCGCACATTCAGCCGTTTAAAATTCCATCGCAAATTATTGTTGGGATACCTTAGCTTAGTTTTGATGACAAAACTGAAGGCTATGACGGCATGATCGCTTTTTCCCAGAGGAGCCAGGATTGAGAGGTTGTCGACTAGGAATTCTTCGTTAGTGAATACGCAGTCTAAGCGCGATGGTGTCTGACTGTTTCTCCAACGAGTTGCCGACCTCACATTTTCATATAAGCCCAAGTTATCGATGAGGTTGAAGAACCGAGCTTCAGTTGAGTTGTCGCCTCCAGTGTACGTGTGTTCCGCGAAGTTGACTCTAGGGAGATTAAAGTCCCCTAGAATCAGGATGTGTGTGAAACCGAGACGGATAGAGCGGGATAGTCCTTCCAGCATACGACTATCGTACTCGGTGTCGGCAGTTGGCTTCCTGTAAATGACTCCGACTAGACACCTGGAAGTACTAGACAACCTTACAGAGCACCATATGGATTCCTCAAGATTGTTAAACTCGAGGTTGTGAACCTGGTGCACCTCCAAGCAAGAGCTTATGTATATGGCTACTCCGCCCCCAATTCCTATTTTTCTGTCGTTGCGGAACAAAGTCATCCCAGGCAATGCTAACTCTTGATCCGAGAACTGAGAAGATATCCAGGTTTCAGATATTCCTATCAGATGGGCCTTGTTAGCGTTGCTAAGTTCACGTAGTTCATCCAATTTGTTTGGTAAACTCGCGGCGTTCATATATAAGCAGTTTATGCTTTCAATTTGGAACGCATGAGCTTCGTCCTGTTTTTCTGTATGAACCTTATGTGAATGGACAGGTAGCCCACCTATATGAGGTTTGCCGAGGTGGTAGGCCCTGTCCTTTACACGTTTTTTTATCGTTTAGACAGTCCACTAGTGGAATGGTCAGCTCCAGCTTGCCTTTGTTCTTGGTCCTGACTTCGTATGGCCTATCCGGGTGCATGTGGATTCCAGGTGGCAATCGACGTCTATTAGCACGAAATGCTTCCAGAACTGCAGCCGCCATGTGGGAAGATGGGAAGGTTATCTTCATTAGACGGGGTCTAAGATCACCGTCCTTCTTGGCTAGTCTCGTCACATGCTGAGTCAGTATGTGTTTGAGCCTCAAGGACTGTTTGATGAATTTCCATTCCCTGATGTCAGAATTTGATTGAGTAGGGTCTGCATTTTCCGGTATACCTTGGACAATTATATTTCTTCCGCGGAAGAACTTCTCGCGAGATTCTTTAGGGACGTTTCGTATGATATTGCGCTCAGAGTACGGTATGTCGGGCAATATTCTTACGTTACCATCTGATTTCAGTAAGTGACTTGCTAGCAAGACGTCCTCTACGTCGGTAGCATTCTTAAGTGTTACTCGGAGAAGCCTCGGGTGATTTAGATGCTTAGAATCCTTTCCTCGAGTGAGCCGGGTGACCGTCAAAGGCTCTATTCTAGGAAGTTCGAGCTTTTTGTTCAATTCACCTCACAGCATCCTGTCGTTTTTATCCTGCAGACTGAGAGGAAGGTCAGGATTGTCGACGAGGTTCATGATAATGAGAGAATCGTCACGAACTGTTGTTAATTTACCAGGTTTCACGATGGGTTCAGGTTTAATAACTTGTTTTTTGGAGGTCAGTGTGCGTTTATGAATCTTGGGCTCTTTATTGACCGGACGAACAGTCTTGGGGGTAGACTGTGCGACTAAATCACCAGTTATTTTCCGTGCAGCAACACTTGGGTTGCTCGGCTTAGGCGGTGATGCCTGGTTCTTTTGGGCTCTCTTAACGTGGGTCGAATCGCCTGCAGGGTTTTTGGGAACCACTGTTGTGTTCAGCGACCCTGAGCTGGGAGACCCGAGTTTGCCTAGGGAGTCTAGTACCGTCGACGTAATGATGGTACTGAGCCTCGACACGTCGTCGTTAGTGTTGATGGATGCTCCATCGATGACATACCTATCGACATCCCTATTTTTGAGTCCGTTGCGCGCTCTTGTTTGTATATCGGTTTTTTTACTGTCGTATTCCAAATTAACTGACAGCTTGTTTCGAAGACCTGTCAGTAGGACAATGATGTTACTCAGCAAGACTACTGCGTCCGTGTTGCACGTGACACATACCCACTTTTGGTCTGACTTGCTGAGTTTGTTGTAAGCAGTTGCTGTCAGATTTGTGCATGCTTCGTGAAACCAACCTTTGCAGTTGTCACACTGCATGCCAGTTGTGACAGCAAAACGGCATCCCAGACGTTTGCATGAGTTTTTCATGACGGTGTTGAAGCAAACTATGTTATAGATGCTGGCAAAGCTTAAGACCTTTTTAAAAAAAACACTAAAATGCACACTGAAAACGGACAAAAACGGACAAAACGAGTGATATAAACTGAAACTAGTCTATACGTGAAAAACAAAAAAAACCGAATAGTAAGCTGAGGCAAAACCACAGGTAACTATTAAATATATTGAAACTCAAAAAAAAAAGTAATCTACCGAACGTATAGCTCAGGATAGATTTTTTAGAACTGAAATGGTACTTTTGTTGCGTAAGAACACAGCAAAAGTTTGATATATGCAAGTCACGTTAGGACTAAACTTCCCGTTCGAAAATGATCAGAACAGAGCAAACTTACGGTTGAGGAGCTTCCATTACTAGAAGTGATGAAACATTGATGACTCCAGGTGGGAACTAAGTGGTATAAAACATATTTGTGTATTGAGGACAGAAGGCCGGCCTACGGACTATGTTATCCCTTTTCTATTAAGCTTCTGATA